CGAAAGCGTTACTGGAGGTAGCCGATTTTAGTTTTGACGGCAAATGTGGAAGCAAAGAGTTCCATAGATATACTGGGTTGTTTCTCCTGTCACATCCTCTATTCATAAAGTTGTCTTTCCTGGTAGATTCCTTTGTGTAATATGTTGAATGATTGTTCTTGAATGTTTTTCAATTGCTGCCCCTGGTTCAAGAAGACGTATTATTGATCGAAGTGGCACCTTTGGTAATCAAAAACATTTGCTCTTGTTTGATTCACCACACATCACGCTTTATTTACCTTCGAAATATGTGCAACCCTCTAACCTTATCTCCAAATCCCCGCTTACAAATAACTGCTTTCATTTAGTCTCCATCTGTTACCCGAAAAGTGTCCACTAAACGCTTCCGTCCCTTCACAGAGGTCTGTTGGCGAATCTACGGCAGATGCGCTCGTATATGGCGCGTCTGATCTCAGGCACCTATTCGGCCTCGCTGAAAAGCAACACCGCTACCCCGCCGCAGCCCCTCCTCCCCCTTACCATACCCAAACAGCGAATTCGCGACAATCATGGTGGAAGGTTTACTGGTGCCGGCACTGGTCTCCTGGTTATTGCCCTCATGATCCTCGCCTCCTCAACTCTTCTCCCTCTGCCTGATGTGGATGGATCTTCTTCAGACAAGGACGCATCTCGCGTCACTCAAAGTGTTCTCTCAGGTGCGTTGTATCCCTGCCACAGGTGTCGCAGATGAGTGCCTCTTCCATCTCATTTCAGCTCTCGCACGAACACAATTACCCGTGTTTCGATAAAGGATTCCTTCTGGCTTCGTCTGAGGTCCATCTGTAAACTGAGTCTATGCTGACCACCGCATGTTAACAACAGTGGCGGTTTTTGCGTCCATGGTCTTTTAGTTTATTATCCATAGGCCGCCTAGATTCGCGCTTAACTTCCCTCCTTGATGTCGTGAATCGACAAGAGTAGCGATTAGTGATGAAAAGGATTTCTGATGGCTATCAGCTGTCGGTAGACCATAAATTAATTGGGGTCTTCCAAAATCAAAGGTATGTTGTACTATAAAAGCCGTCCTAATTAAATATTTGTTGCAAATAACCCACAGTTGACGCTTATAAACTCTAATGAGTCCGAAATTTGGCTATTTTGGCAACTTGTGAAAGAAAAGAGCCCTGCGTTTGCCGTGTGTCAAATTACCACTCCTAGTTTTTCTCAGTCAAGGTGTTATTTTAATGTTTCAGGTCGGTCGCGGCTGTTGCTAAACAGCAAGACAGAAGGTGATGTCGTTGTCGACAGCAAAGACGACAACCAGCAGCTCACTCTCTCTGCCGCCAATGGCGTAGATGGTTCCGATGACGACATTCCCGTCATCACGTCAAAAGTTCGGATTCTGAATAAGGTGAGGCCGCTAACATCACTTAATTCATTGTTAATTGAATAATTAGAGGTTATTGGGCGTGGTACACGAAGTGAAGTTAACGTAAGGCATGTCTGTAATACCGTGTGTTTTTACTCTGAAATGATGGTAACTAAAGTAGTCAGCTTTCACTACCGGTTGGTAGGCTACTGGGTGTAAGTAAGGAGACGCATGGTCCCCTGCGCGACTGTTGTAGTTAGCTGATAACGCTGTATTATTGGTGCAGGCAGCACGTGTCAAGTCCAGCAAGCCACCGAAATAGCCTGGGCGATTTCCTTTCCTCGTCTTAACTCGCGTGTTGATGCTGTAGGGTCCCGAACAAAAAATAATTCAGTCGCTTGAGCTGGATGATCAACTGGACCCGTTTCTTGCACCGCCGAATATTGGCGTGGGTCGAGAGAGGAAGGACGAACGACACGTTCCCTACTCCACTGAAGACCTTTAGTCGGATTTTGTCTCTGTGTACTCCTGTCACGGTTCCTCCACTGCCCGAATGTCTTTAACTGATTTTTGATTCCATTAACAAGCCTATTTGTAAACGGCTTAATCTCTAATCTACTGTACATTATGCGCTTCATTAAAGCCATCTCATTGCTTTTACCTTTGTGATATAGATGTGGCGCACTTTCAAGAGTGCTTTTTCCTAATTTGGCCTCCCCTAATGACGCATGAGGTTGTAGGCTGGGCGAATCTTTTAAGGAATACCTTGGCACCTATTCGCTAGGTAGAGTTGAATTTTCGCTTCAATAGTTGCATGTTTGTATTGATACAAAGTAGGATTTTATTAGCAGGGACTTTTTTTTTCTTAATAACATTTGTACTGTATACTGCAATGTTGGCTTTACATAAAAAATGATTCTCACCACGTGCTAATCTGTGTTAAGTCTTGATTGATCGGATTTGGATTCACAGTTCCTCGTAAGTACAGAAAAATTAGCAAAGCCAGCTACTCGATGACCATTGGGTTGTGCTAGTGGGTCAGAGCTCCGGTAACTACTGTACGTGTTTTGAGGAAAATTAAATAGGTAGTTTGTTTGGTGAAGTAACGGCAATCTCATTTGCATAGCAACGTAGGCGAGTAATAGTGGTGCCTGTGTCATGTAGGCCTTCCTTGGTCTATATTTATTGCTTCAAATCAAAGTATTTTAGTCTGGAAATCCTATTATCGGAATGGAGAACTTGATTCTTATTGAGTATTACCGTAATCTGTTGTAGAATTACGAATAATGCATTTACGAAGCGCAAGTCTGCAAATAAGGCGTCTCGTGTTGTTGAGCTAGACTTGTGAAAAGATGTTAGAATGTGGGAAACTAAATGCAAGCTTGTCGTTAGGGTGCTAGGCAAGCATTTTGCGAAAACCGGCGCTGCAGCCGTTTCATCCTCCAATAATCCCGATTGCAATGCAGTGACTCATGTCACAAATTGCCAGAACATCCAAACAATTAATATGATTGACGATGTGGATGTTTCTGTCACATTTAGGCTATTAGTGGTAAATAATGTGTGTCAAGACTGAAAATTTTAAGCACACGAGGCTTTGTCATTCGAATTGGGGCTGAATTCCTTTTGCGCCGGTGGTTCATGTACGTGCCTGGATTTAAATGCTGGCAACATTGCCACCACAGTTCTAGCGTAATGTCAAAAGCCATTAAGTCAGCAGGACATTCAAGGTTCCTGCTAACGACTATTGGGAGGTAGCGTAATATATGGCTTAAAGCTCTGAATTGTTGAGGAACTAACGCAATGGTATTGACTGAAGTCCCAGGTAAAATTTAGAACCAAATTTGAGCATCTTTTTGTTGTGATGGTGTAAATAACTCAGGTCGTGAGAATTAAACTCAAAATAGCATTCACCCATTTCTTCCACCGATGTGAAACACGTAGGGTGCAACTGACAATGCCTAAAAAGAGGTGGGAGTTAGGTTCTCATTTTCCTAGGGTCCGATGACCTCAATCTATAACAGACCAAACTGCCCCAAGGATCTCTAGTAGAGCCGTAGTGAATTTACTAGGCTTACTGACTGGTAAAATTCGGTAGCAAATAAGGAGACACTTTGTAATCTAATCACGTGCTACAATTAGGAAGCCCCATGTCCAACAAAGCCAAGGTCAGGGTCATTTACCATAGGCGTTTACATTACTGCAAAGGTTGAGAGGTTTGCTATGGTAATTTTTGGTATATATTTGGGACTTTGAAGACTTTTTATCAATGCATTGCCGATACATGGATTTACTCGGACTCGCTAATTATTTGTTTCGTATAAAGACATCACTTGCACGAATTTGTGCCTTTTTGAAAAGCATATTAACTAAATAGAAAGATTTCGTGTTAAATCTGAAGAATTTCTAGAACTTCTTCCTATTTTTCCCAAGTAAATCAATGAAATATATTTTTATATTTCGGTTTCCATTTATCTGCCAGGAAGCCTACAAGCGATTCATTTTCAATCAAACCTTTCATGAACCTTATTTAAAGGATTCATTCGACACTAAAAAGTGTGCGACCGAGGCTGCCTAATTAATGCATAACTTCAGCGAATGACGTAATGGGATTATTGCACAAGCGCGTTAGGTGCATAGCTCATCGTAAGCTACTATGGTAAACAAGAATAAACCCTTGAATCGACAAGTTGCTCTGGGTAAACCACGTACATCGAGGATCGTAAAGGCGACCACACAAAACTCTTCGAATCAAAATACTTATTTTAGTCAGATGTTTCGATTTATTCTAAACTAAGACTCTCCTTGCAAAAGTGCTTCAAACCAAGCAGGAAATGAAAAGGCGACAGGTTATCTTCAACGAACTTTGTATTCGGAATTAGGCTCGTTAAAAAATAACCATGATAATACATCGCAAACTCACAAAAACGATAAAGTAGGCACAATGGATTGTATCGGACGCAGGATCGTAGGGAAAGCAGATTTCAGAGAAACAAAACGGAACTTCATTGTGGCCATGCAGAAGAAATATTGTCAGTTAAGAGGGAAATTCTAGCTACCACTCTCTTCAGTTCATTTAAGGTCGAGAGGATCGCGTGTGTTTTTTCGTGTGACAAGTTGGTACTTTTTTCAGTTTTTTGAAGTACTTTATTGTGCACCACATCAGCGATTTCTGCCAGCTTTTCAAGTGGTGTGTCAGGGCTTTGTACCGAGAGAATTTCCCTCATCTCAGGTGGTAAACACTTAGTCCACATCCGGGTCAAGTCTGAGTTGTCGATCTTGTTTCTACCTAACACACAACGCATCTTTTCAAGGAGTTGAGACGGCAATTTGCCGTCCAACCCATTTTTAAAAAAAATGCGCATCAAACTTTCTTTTTGCGATTTGTTCAACTGTTTAAGAATTGCGTTCTTTAAGTTAAAATACGGGTTCTCGGAGGGTATCGAATCGAGCAGATCAATAACATGTAATGCAATATGATCAGGCAGTTGAGACACAACGAAGTTATACATGGTGTATTGACACGTTATCCTGTGAATGCGAAAGTAGGCCTCGACCTTCAAAAACCATACTTCGGGATGACCGATGTACAGTGGAAATCTAAAATAAATCGGCTGCTCTGGAGGAATGATGGAGGATTTTTCAGACATGGGAATAGTCAGTGCAAACGGTGATAAGCGTCAATTGAGATGCGCAAGATCTCCCAATTTTCTTTATATCCTGACCCTCTATATCTCACAAAATATCCAAAAGGCAAAAGCTTGCGGTAGAAACAACGCTTGATCTGGCCACAAGAAACGGTAGTTCTTCGACGCTACTCTGCCTCTGTTTATATACGATTGCAGTAAGGGTCCTGTGGTTACAAGATTGAACGTAAATCATTAGAAATCAACAACTAAATCGATGAGTTGGAGTCAAGTAGTCGATCGCTAGTGACATTAATCAGTCGCTTGAACGCATTTCATCATGAGTGTGCACAAATTAACACAATGAGCTGAAGATACAAAACTAGTCACGCAGAATAATAAAGTGATAATCCTCAGCAGTAGTACGATCGTTTCCATCATTTCTCAAAAAACTTCCTGTGACACCGATACTTAAGGTACTAAGGGTACTTACTGGTGCTCTTGACACAAACAGAAGAAAACGCGAATACCAGAATATCCGGTTGAATACCTAGTTGATTGAGAATGCCCAAGTTCGAATTGGAAAAATGCTGCCATGAATCCCAATAACTCATCAACGTAGGACAACGACGAGGATTCGTCAGATCTGTTGTTAATAATAACCAGTGTTTTTCTAAAATTAAGTCTGGCTAGAGTGAAGTCTGTTTCGTTTAACAGCATTGCGGATGAATATTAAGTGGTCACTCTAGTACGAATATACTTGCATTCCCGAAGAGGCTTCAAATTCTGAAACAAGCAAGATGCGAACTCTGCAAGCCGGTAGGAGGTGATTAAAGTTGAAACAAGAGCTAATGACAGACTATCCTTACTAGAGACTCTTATTGACCGTTGGGTAAAATTGTCAACACGGGTGGGTGTGTGGGTAAATCCACGAGACTGCATGAGAGGTCCATCCAAATCTATGTGTTCAACTGTGATAGGAATTCAGCATCTCCAAGACTATATTCTTAAGCTTGTGCGATTTTGCTTCTCATTATCATTAATATTTATGCACGTCAACCTGTGGACGCTTATTGGCCTCCATATTGGCTCTTTTACCTTAAGGATACGGATATCCATACTTGCACTCAGGGCCACCCTCGCATGTGAACGAACTCTCGGCCTTTGGCTGAGACAGTACAAGCTCTCCGGCTTGTCTTGTGTGAACCTGTGGAGGCGCTGATTTATGCGTGTTTTGCCTGGGTGCTATTGTGGAAGGGCCTACGGAGTGCTGACGAAACTATCGACTATTTGCACTAGGGGTTTTGGAAACTCCTGTCTGGGTGACGAAAATGTCCTGGTTGCGATATCTTGTGCGACCGAGAATCGGTTTGTAAGGCAAGTTTCCTTTACCTTTCCCAGCGGCTCAGAATCGCTTCATTTGCTTCCAATGCAGTTTTAGCTCCCTCATCTACGGTAGGCTTCTTGCGTTTCCTCAGGATTAAGTCAATGTGAGAAGCGGTGTGTGGAATGAAACGTACGCAGCAGTTTACTAAATCAAGAAAATAACTCAAGAAGTGTGGAAATTCTGGTATTAGACGCTCCCAAAACTCTGCTGTCTTCTAATTCATGGTCCTGGTACCGTCTCAGTCGATATAATGGCCGATCAAAGTTGTTGCTAAGAGTAGGCCTTTATGTCATAATACTTAAGACATATGACAACTTTATGTAGACACAGCAAATTATTTTCAATTTTGCTGCAGATAAAAATATTATCAAAAAGACGAAGCAAAATCGGGAGCATGTAAAACTTGGTTTTTAAACCCCTATAAGGTCTGAGCGGCGTTGTATAAAAGTCGAATAATTCAAATAAATGAATAACGAGTTTTGGGCACATTTT